TCACTGGTGAAGATTTTCTCCCATTCTGTGGGTTTTCTGTTTGTTTCCTTGGTTGCCTCCTTTGATGTACAGAAGCTTTTTAGTTTAATGAGGTCCCATTTGTTGATTCTTGACCTTGTTTCCTGAGCGATTGATGTCCGGTTTAGAAAATCCTTTCCTACATCTATATCTTGTAGGTTTTTCCCAATGTTTTCTTCTAACAGTCTCAGGGTTTCAGGCTTTATATTGAGGTCTTTGATCCATTTTGAATTGACTTTTGTGCAAGGTGAAAGATAGGGGTTTAGTTTCATTCTTTTACAGGTGGAGGTCCAGTTTTGCCAGCACATTTGCTGAACATGCTGTCTTTCCTCCAGTGAATGTTCTTGGCCCCTTTGTCAAATATCATGTGGCTGAAATTGCATGTACTCATATTTGGGTCTTCAATTTTGTTCCACTGATCTATGGGTCTATTTTTGTGCCAGTACCATGTTGTTTTTATGACTATATCTCTGTAATACAGCTTAAAATCTGGTATGATTATCCCCTGGGCATTGCTCTTAGTCCTCAGGTTTGCTTTGGCTATCCTAGGTCTTTTGTGCTTCCATATGAATCCTAGGATGTTTTTCTCCAATTCTGTGAAAAATGTCATGGGGATTTTGATTGGCATTGCATTGAACCTATAAATGGCTTTTGGTAGGATGGTCATTTTCACAATATTATTTCTTCCTATCCATGAGTATGGAAGGTCCTTCCATCTCCTGGTGTCTTCCTCAATCTCTTTCTTTAACAATTTAAAAATTTTATTGTAGAGATCTTTAGTGTCTTTGGTCTGGTTTATTCCAAGATACTTTTTTTGTAGATTGACAGCTATTGTGAAGGGGAGTGTTTCCATGTGCTCTTTCTCTGATTGCTTGTTATTGGTATATAGAAAGGTTACAGACTTTTGTAGGTTAATTTTGTAACCTGCCGCTTTACTAAACGTGTTAATAATTTCTAAGAGTTTTCTGGTGGAATTTCTTAGATAATATATCATCAGAAGAAAGGGATAATTTGATCTCTTCTTTTCCAATTATTACTCCTTTAATTTCCTGCTCTTGTCTTATTGCTCTTGCAAGAGTTTCAAGCACTATGTTAAAGAGAAGTGGAGACAGTGGACAGCCTTTTCTGGTTCCTGATTTCATTGGGAATGCTTCCAGTTTTCCACAGCTTTGAACCGCTCCATTTGCATCTCAATAAGCTTACGTTATCAATAAGCTGACTCTTATCCTTGATCTCATTAGATGCTACCCATGTCTTGGTCTGGTCCCTCAGCCGTTGTAGCTTCTTAATCTTCTTTAGGTCAGCCTTATACTTTTCTTTCTGGTTCGCGTTGGCTGCCTTGTGGAGCTTCTGCCAAATATCTTCAAAATGCTCCATGCCTTCAGACACCTTCTTGAGGCAGCGATCAATCTCACCTTGGAGTCTGCCGCTTGCCCTCCATCTTCCCTGCCCTACAGATGCACCCTCTTCTTTCTCTCTTGGAGACAGACACACAGGAGCTGGCTCCGCTGCTGAGGGAGGTGAGAGGGGAGCCCGCTGCCTTTTTGTTCTTCTTTTTTTTCCCCTCTTCTTTCCTCTTGAAAATCGGGTGGGAAAGCGGAAGTGGGGTTAGGTTGTTGATAAGAGGAAGTGGGCCTGGGGCTGTTCTAGACCACTGAGAAGGGGATTTGGGGCTCAGCTGACCCGGCCCATCCAAGATGGCGGCGGCGAAGGAGGGCTCCCACCTCTCTCCTCTCTCAACTAACTGTATTCTTTTTTTCTTTTGTCTTTTTTTTTCTTTTCTTTGGTCTTTTTGAGACAGGGTCTCCCTGTAGCCCCAGCTGACCTGGAACTCGCTATGTAGACCAGGCTGGCCTGGAACTCCCAGAGATCTGCCTGCCTCTGCCTCCCAAGCGCTGAGATTAAAGGCGTGAGCCACCACGCCTGGCTAACTAACTGTATTCTTATATAGCGTTCCTGAAAGCTTAGACCATTTGAAGTTTCCTACGATTTACTTACTGGGTAGATGCCTTGAAATGCTCAGAGATGGTTTATTTCATCTTATACTTCAGGTCACAATCCATTATTGAGAGAAGCCAGGGCAGGAACTCAAGCAGAAACCACAGAGGAAAGCTACTTACTAGCTTGCTCCATGGCTCATGCCCAGTGAGCTTCCTTAAAAACCCAAACCCACCTGCCTAGGGATGGTGCCACCCAGAGTGGCCTGGGCCCTCCCACACCAATCATCAGTCAAAACAATCTCTCACAGACATTGCCACAGGTCAGTCTGATCTGGGAAATTCCCCCATTGAATTTTCCTCTTCCCAGGTGACTCTAGGTTGTATTGAGGTGACAGTAAAATCTTCTGGGCATCACACATGCCCATAAGTTTGTCTCCTAGGAGATAATAAATCCTATGAAGTTGGCAGCAATATTAACCATCAAAATCACCAATTCAATCAATATCTTAAAAGTTCTGGTGCTATAGACACCAGGAAGTGGGAAAGAAACCCCAATTCAACCTGAGGAACTTTTGGCAGCCAATGACTGCTGAGTTGGGGAGAGACAGAGTGTTTGAAGGATGGGACTCTTGGTAAGTTAACCAGGCTCCAGTGGATAAACTCACACTGAAAGACATTTGGGGGCACAAATTAGACTCTATAGACTTGAATATATATTATATTTATCTATATTATATATTTATGTATATTATATATGTGAATATATATATAGTAAGTGTTCCTCGATACTGACCTATTGCTGTACCAGCCAACACACAGAGTACATTAAATTGGGTGGAAATGGTAAGAGGAGATGCTGATAGGGGAGGGGATCTGACCATGAAATCATATTGTACAAAAATTGCAAAATTTTTGTAAAAAAATTTTTAAAGTATTGATGCTAGTAACAACTGGCTCGACAAGATCTTCCCAAAGGCAGGGTGCCACAAATGTCATGGAGTAACCAACCACTTTCTGATTAAATTTAAAGCCCACCCCACAATATGAAATCCATACCTGGCCCCACTGGGACAAAGAACCTTTGGCTAGACAGGTTACAGGTCCTAGGAGGGAACCTACTACTATTATTCTGCTAAACAGAGACAGTATTAAACCAGCTCCTAACTGCCTAATAGACGAGTTACAGGTCCTAGGAGGGACCTACTACTATTATTCTGCTAAACAGGATAGTATTAAACCAGCTCCTAACTGCTTACTGTCAGACCAATATATAGTGAATCTCTCACCTCTCACCAGAGATGTTTTTAAATATTGATTATTTTTATTTTATGTGTATTAGTGTACTGCCTGCATATACATACATGCACCTATGTCATGCAATACCCGAGGAGATCAGAAGAGGACATCAGATACCCTGGAACTGGAGTTACAGATGGTTGTTAGCCACCATTTGGATGCTAGGAACTGAACCCAGGTCCTCTGCAAGATTTTCGTCTTATCCCTCCTTCAGCCTCCCAAAATTTTACTGTGACCCATGGAAACAGAGAACACTCCATCAACACTATAATGTCATCTCATCACACAGAACCATGATAGAGATACTAAAATAAGAGTGCAATGTCTGACAAAGCGTTTCTTTGCACAAGGAATCCTTCAAAGACAAAGGCACTGCCTTCCCATCTAGTCCATGAGTCCCAGAGCTCTATCTTAAAACTCTGCTCCTTTTTCATTCTTAGCACAGTTGCTGAAGCCCCTGTTCATCGAGATCACACTCCAACTTCATGATATCCACTATCTCTGAAGAATTTTTAACTGCAGAATTCAGCACTGGACTGACCTGAGGGTAGGGAGAAGTCTTAAAACTTCCAAGATGAGAATATGAGAAGCCTGGAAACAGCCAGTGTCCTCTGTATAGTCTGCATGTGGGTGAGAGACACTCTCCTCTCATGAGATTTCACTCTAGGGTTCTCAAAGCTGTGTTCACCTCAGGACACTTCCTGGGCACCAGTGATCTTGATGTTGAAATAGCGGGCGTTGTAACAGCAGGTTGCTGTTCAAATGAGGAGCCTTCATGCCACACCCCTTCCAGGAGATGTCTCTATAGAAGAGATGGCAGAGTGCCCATGGATGTGTACAAATATATAAGCCAGAGCTGAAGATTCAGGTCCCGCACTGCTGCTGCTCTAACACCTACTGCTCTACAGCAGAATCAGAGCCATGGAGACCAGGATCTTTGGTAAGGAGACCCCAGCCCAAGGAGACATAGGGGTTATGGCATCCCTGCTTTACCACTGAACCTCAAGTCCAATTGTTTATTCCCTATTCAGTTATACACACACACACACACACACACACACACACACACACATCCCTCATAATCCCTGCTGGCATCTCTGACTGTATTACAGTCTCCCTGTCTGTGATGTTCACAGGTTTCTCTGTTTCCAAGCCCTCCATGCGTTTCCTCACATTCATCCCACACCCAGGACCCACACCCAAAGTCAGTGTCAAAATCCACTCTGAGACATTAGACTCAACAAGGAACTCAGGGGCACCACACTCTGGCCCTGATCCTGGCCATGTGCTCCCCTGCCTCACTCTCCTTTCTCCTTCCCAGTGATTGTCTTTATTTCTGCACTCCTGTACTCACACTCAGAAGGAGCCACAGGTGAGAACAGGTGTGTTAAGGAGGGAGGAGATGGCACTGTAGATGGGAGGGGGTCCTAGACTGACCTTTGGAGCCTGCCCAGCTCTAACTGTTCCTAGATACTGACCTATTGCTGTGCCAGCTGGCACCCAGGTGTGGAGACCAGATCTACAATCCTTTGAAGCACTGCTGTGGTGATGACGTCATCATACCCCCGAATGGCACCCGCCTCTGTGGCCCCAGCTGCATCTACTGGCCCTGCTTCCAGCACTGCTGCCTGGAGTCCAGCACCTCCGAGAATCAAAGGGTTGTGAGGTTCAAGGTCCCAGGCATGAAGCCCAACTGCTCATCTTCTCCCATCTCCAGGATCTGTGCCCAGGTGAGTTTCCTATTACAGTCCAGCCTGGGGTAAGAAAAATCAGGAACAGAGGATGGCTGTCTGAGCCCCCCATCAGTGCAGACTCTACTGAGGCCTCACCTTCCCATCTCCTGGCAGCCGTGAGACACTCCTCCTGTGTCTGTCTGCCATCCCATAACTCCTCCCTCCCTCTCTCCACAAGAGTCTCACCCAGCAGGCTCTCAGGCACATCTGACTTCATCCTGATCAGCCCAGAGTGCAGAGTTTCAGATCATCTCAGAATGTGATATTTTGTAATCAGTCATTCTGAAAGGGCTCTTTCACTGATTCCTCCAAGGCAAAACCTTCCATCTTGGAAGGAACTGCATTGGAATGCAGGAGGTTAAAAGGAAAATACACAACAGGATGCTTTGGGGGAAGGTCAAAACATTCTCTCTTGCAGGGAAGCTTTGGAAGCAAATAACTCAATAGCTTCAGGAAGTTCCTGAAACTGACCAGGCCCCTTCCTCCCCAAGCATATATAAGCCCTAAGGACTGCTGAGAGACTCTCTCAGATAAGCAGGGCTGCCTAGAAGAGGTTCAGATCAACTCAGCCACCTGGAGAGGACACTCTCCAACCTGCTGAGCTGCCTGAAGGTTGTACAGTGGCTCCAGGTTTCCTGCCTTCATGAGCTGTCACCGATGCTGGGGTGGGCTCTGGAGCAGGAAGCTGTTTTGAGTCATTTCTTCTCCCAGAAGTAACCCCTCACCCATATTCAAGCAAGTAACCCCAATAAAGCTGATTGGTTCACCAAGTTGGATTTTGGTGATACCCTTATCTTGGTCTGTCACTGGTTCCCTATCTGGGGTAAGCAGGCATTGTCTCCCCAGGAATAGGAGAGAGAGAGAGAGAGAGAGAGAGAGAGAGAGAGAGAGAGAGAAGAGAGAGAGAGAGCTGAAGGAGAGAAGGGGAGGGGGAGGAGCGTGATGAAAAGGAGCCAGGCCTGGGCTGGGGAAAAGAGGAGTCAGCCCCACCACAGAGCAGTGGATGGAGAAGGGATGGGAGGGGCAGAGAAACTGATGACAAAGGAAAACAAAACGGTCTGGCCAAGAAGAGTGTGTGGGTCTAAAGCATCCTTAGCAAAAGGGAAGGCACAGGACACACCTTGGGGCCATTTCTCCTCTGACAAATTGAAACAGCGACTTATGCCCTGTCCACAGGACCTGCTGGTCTGCATCACCCCACGTTCTACTGTACACTGACAACCCTTCCTGAGGGCTGGTCACTCCTGACCTCACACCTCGGCCCAGGCCAGGATGGTAGTCGCTGCTCCTTGGACCACAACTGATGCTCTGCAGGGAGCAAGATGATTGATCAGGAGCTGATCATTTTCTGATTTGGACATTCCTGTCTGATTGTGCTATACAGTGGGAGATGGCTCTGTATGTTCCTGGGATCCCTGAGGAAACCACCACAGGAACCCAATGGCTTAAGCTCACTGGTTCCTGCCTATGATTACTTCTCTTCTGGTTAATGCTCATTTATTCATGATGTAAGTACATTTGGGAACTTGTCTGTGGAGGCTTCCAGACTCAGTGCTGTGCTGTGAGGCCACTGCCCTCATTCAGTTCACAGAAGGAGAGAATGAAAAGATGTGAAAATGGAAAATGGCACCTGGCACACAGCACGCACTGGGTGGCGTCTGAGCTGAGCGCTGTGATCATTGCCCTTAGAGTTTATTGGTTGGTGTGACTTTCTGAGGAAAGAAGTCCACACGTTACCACACTGTCAAGTAGGTCAGACCACAGCGACAGGCCTCCCTCCTGACATTTCATCTCTTGGTGCTGTCTGTGCCTCTGTGAGGACGGAGAGCAGGCTTTCCTCTGACAGAACATGAGGGCAGAGGGGAGAGGCTGCTCTCCTGAGAGTCTGACAGCTCCCACTGTGCCTTCATTTATGCGACGTCTATTCTTTCTGCAGCTGCAGCTAAAGATCAGTGATCTCAGGAACAGAGCCAGCTCTGTAGGCACTGCCTTCCCTCCTGGCAGGTCACTGATACCG